TGGGAGCCGCGGTCCCCGGAGCTTTGAGGTGGCAGCCCGGTGCCTCAGAGTTTGGGTTTACCTGGGTCGTTCTTGAGTCTCCCTGAGGGCACTGTGTGGATGCAGAGGCGTTGGGTGGACGAGGGTGGGTTGAGGGTCTGGTTTTATCTGAAAAGTTGGGGCATTACAGTTTAGCAGAAGGTAGGTGGGAGGGGGTGGGGTGAATTTCGGACCCAGTACTATCTTGGACAGTCGCCTGCTTGTGCGTCCAGGCTGGAGCAAGCTTCCCGGCCTGTTGCTGTTTGTTTTTACGACCCTGCGTTACTGAGGACTGGGATTGGTTGTTTCCAACCAGACAAGCTTCAGGGACCCCTCGGGACTGGGTTTGTGAGCAGTGACAATAGGGTACCAGGGAAAGACATCGTGGCTTCTCTTGGCACGGTCCAGGTGGCCTTCATGCCTTGACTGGTGGAAAGGCAAAGAGTGTTGTTTCCTCTAAACCCAGTGGCTAGTTTTGCTAAATCTTTGCGGCCTGGCCAGCAGCGCAGTCTTCCTGTCTCCACGGCGCGGTTGCCTCTTGGTCCCTCTCTGGGCAATGGTGATAATAATGCTGATGGTGATGCTGGCGATTATGTTTGTACCTCACCGAATTCTCCTGGGGTCCCCAACCAAATTTAGGCAATTTAGACGGTACTTTTGTTATTTCTGCCTCCACTCCTCAGAGTTTAACTGCAAGTCATCATGAAATCTAAAAGTGCAACCTAAGAGGTTGTAAAAGTTGGGACATTTTAAGTCCGAATTGGTTTCAATGGCGTCTGCAGTTCAGTGAACGTCAGGATGCTGGTTCTTAAATCAACACTGCCATCTGCTGTCCATTCTGGAGAACTGCATATACCTCTGAACGGGTTTGGCAAACTCCAAATTGGCAGTAGGGAAGTTGTTGTTTTTTTTCCCCCTTCACTTTAAAATTTTTACATTTTATTTTTCGGTGTTTGGGCGTTTTTCCTGTATGTATGTATATGAACCATGTGCTTGGTGCTTTTTGAGATCAGAAGAGAGTGTCAGGTGTCAGGTTCCTGGATGTGAGCTGCCACATGAGTGCTGGGAATTGAACCCAGAACGCTAATCATTTTTTCAGCCCCCCTCCTTGATAAGCACGAAGATGATTTTGCTAATTTTTCTTTCCTATGACTCTGCAATGATTACTGGACGAACTGATTTTATTTTTCAGACATTTGTATAGTTTCCAACTTAATTTGTGTGTGTGTGTGGGGGGGGGTTGGATCTGGAGATAAAATTCATCCCCTTCAAATGCTAGATGAGCACTGTAGCACTGTAGTACTGTTGGACACCAAGCCCTAATTTTTAATCTGTTTTGTTTTGTTTTGGTTTGGTTTGGTTTTGGTTTTTCGAGACAGGGTTTTTCTGGGTAGCTTTGGAGCCTATCTTGGCACTTGCTCTGGAGACCAGGCTGGCCTCGAACTCACAGAGATCCGCCTGCCTGCCTCTGTCTGCTGAGTTCTGGGATTAAAGGTGTGCACTACCACTGCCTGGCTAATCATTTAATCTTTTATACTTACATAATGAACGGTGTTTATAGAGCAGACCTGTAAGGGAGGTAGCAGGGTTTTTATTTTCTCTAAACCTAATATGTGGACTTGGTGACTTCAAGTCAATGACCTGTTGTTCTGTTCATTTAGTGATGGTCTGAAGGAAGTGTTTCTTTATTCTCTCATAGTTACATATCTAGTACATGGAGACCAGAAAGACATATAGACTCAGGCTATCCCTTAAAATGCTTGTGTGTAAAATTGTCCCAACCCCTGTCTCTTATTGGAATATCCAAGAATGGGCTCTGGCAGATCAAAAACATTCTAGGCCCTGGAAGGGTGCAGGTCCTGAGAATATGCTTTGGGCTGTTGTAGACCCATACTTAAGCTGCCTGAGCTCAAGTGATGAGACTGAATAAAGACATTGAGGAAAAACAAAACAAGAAGATGTGTTATTTTCATAGCTAGAATTAACTTAGGAAAGCTGGAAGGAAGTCTGAATCCTGAAGGTCTTCGATGGCTTTGGGGCTGAGTGTCAGTCTCCAGTGGTCTTTAATTGGGACAGGGCATGGCGGATTTCAGTGTCCAGTGGTTGTGCAGTGGAATCCAACCATGTACCCTTGGTGTCAGGGAAGTTGGCTCCAGCCTCTTCTGGAAGAGATGCTTTTGAATCGCTTGCATCCTGTTTGCTTTCCAAGTTACCCTGTGGTCTCTGGTCACCTTCAGTAGTTTTCACTTTTGTTTGCAGTAGGATGAGTGCGATGGTACTGGCCTGCAGCAGGAGGGTCTTGAGTTCAATGTCAACAGGATGTATATGAAAGAACTAGAAAGGGAGAGAGGGAAAAAGGGTTGGCCAGAGAGTGGCTGCTTCTGTATTTTAGGATTGTATGCATTAGTTAATGTTACAGAATTGTCACAGTGATACCAGCTAGAGGTTCACATCTGCTTCCCCACTGGGCAGAAGACACAGTTGTGGGGCCTCCAGTAAGGAGGAGCCAAAGGGCATGACTGGCACCATCTAACAGCATCTTAGGAGTCTGCAGAAAGAGAGTCAAAGTGAGCATCCATGCACTTTAAATGAAGCTATGTACCTTGGTCCTTTCAGGACACAGGGAGGCAAACAGGCAAGCCAGTGATGGATGGTTTCCACCTAGAGATAAGACTGAAGTTCAGATGGAGTGTCAGGGTTGTGATCAGAAGCTGGTCTGATACGATGTGCATAGTGTCTTCTGAGAAGGAATGAGAATAACAGGATGGAGAAGAACCTGGCCCCTGCCGGAGATCTCACAATGCAATCTCATGTTCTGCTTGTTTCTCCAACTGATATACTTTTGAGCTGTGAATATGGAGGCTGGAGACTGAAGTCCAACATGTAATGACATGGGAGAAAGAAACATATCTATCTATTTATTTATTTATTTATTTATTTATGATAAAATCTTTTATAGTCCAGGCTAGCCTTGAACTCTGGATCCTCATTCTCTATATCACTATGCCTGACCAATAAGTGATTTAATTTAAAAATACATTTATGTATTTATTATTTGTGTGTGCCACAGCACATGTGGAGGTCAGAGGACAATTTATGGAGGTTTACCATGCCTGTCCCCCCCTCTCTCTTCCTCCCTCCCTCCCTCCCTCCCTCCCTCCCTGTCTCTGTCTCTGTCTCTGTCTCTGTCTCTGTCTCTGTCTCTCTCTCTCCACCATTTGGGTCTTGTCTAACTCAGATCATCAGACTTGAGAGCAAGTGTCTTCACGAACTGGACCATCTATCTCATCTGTTCATATATATGTTAATCTGCTTTAATTCCAGTACTCAGGAGGCAGAGGCAGATGGATCTCTGAGTTCAAAGCCAGCCTGGTCAACAGGGTTTCAGTAAAGCCAGAGCTACACAGAGAAACCCTGTTTCAAAAACAAGACAACAACAAAACAAAACCCAAACCTCCACCCCAAAATATGCTGTTCTTCCCTCAAATGTGTTGATTCCCCACTGAACTGACTACTGTGCTATAAGCCTCAGATTTTGTAACACAGTTACTTATGTCTGTATGTCTGACCTGTGGATGTTCCAGGCTGGGAGCAATGAAGGAGTAGCACTTGCAGGGTAAGAGAGGGCCAATGAAACCAAGACTCCCTGAGATCTTCAGTGGGCAGCAAGCATGGGGAGTCTCTTTCTCCCTCATTGGTCTGTTTCTCACTGTCATGCTACAATTATCCATGGCTAGATTGTCTGGGTTGCAAAAGAGTAACGGCATGCAACTTCATAAATGCTCGAGGCTTTCCCAGCCAGGGAACGGCTGTTATCAGAGACGGAAGTTTGAAATCTTCAGCAAACACATGTGGATGCTCACTATTCCACCATTATCACTCTCTCAGAGGCCCTGTTTTCATTGCCCACTTTGTATGCCAGTAAATCACAACCCTGGCAGCAAGCTCACCGTATCTGGACACACAGGAGGAAATCTGCTGGAGCCTGGCTGGGGCAGAACATTCTCAGATCTTGCTCCGTTGGTGCACTGAGTTCTCTTGAGCTTAGCATGGCTGGAAAGATCCATGGCTGGTGAGCCTCGCTGGAGAGCTACAGGATGTGAATGTGATAAAACCCCCAGCCGTCAAGCTGGCGCTGGGAGTTGCTTTGAAGCTGGCCAAGTGGATTATCGGTGGGAGGTTGATATTTGTGTGTACAAACACACGGGGCCCTCACTGCTAATTGTGGTAAATCAGGCAACCAGCCTGGCTCTGGGGCTCCCTGTGGCTGTTGCCACAGCAGTTTGGAAACCCTACATCCTCCAGCACCTGCCAAGATCCTGAGAGGCCATTAGGCCAGACAGCATCTTTCAAAGTGCATTTGGTCCACAACCCTGCAATTAGGTTTTCTAATTGTGGCTTGCAGAGAAAGAGAAGGGTCAGGGGCAGATTGTATTTGGAAAGAGTGGGCACCAAAAGGCTGACCTCTCCCAGATCCCTGGGAATTGTTGGTCTGCTAATCTACCAAAGTTGGTGAGCTCCAGATTCAGCCAGAGATCTTGCTTCAAAAAAACAGTGTAGCACGATCAAGGAAGATATCTGATGTCAGCTTCTGGCTTCCACAGGCACCTGTACACACAGGTACATGCATGAACATGTATGTACACATATGTGCACAAATTCACTTACTCCTGGATCTGTCCCTGGGTGTGTTTTTGGATCAATTGCTAAATTTTGTGCCTCAAAGCAAGAAACTGTGAGAGGACAGATGGGGGTCCCTTGCTCTGTCCATGGCCCTGTGTAGAGATTTCTAGGAAGGAGTGTTTCTCTTCCCTGGAACTTGGTCTGCACAGAATCTTCGTTCTTACCTTGACACTCACATCTCCCCAGGGATGGAATTAAAGGTGTATGTACCCCAACCATGCTGGGCCTCTCTCCCTTTCTCTGTAGTGGCCCTCATGCATGTGCCTGTCCTGGGCTTCCTGAGCTTTTGTAGCCTGACTGTCTGTCCAGGTTCCACAAGAACAGACTGTAGAGCCTCCATGTCATAGAGGCCACCTCTAAGCTATGTTGGTTAGTCTCCATTGAAATCACATTTTATTGTCCAATTATTTGATCCAGACCAAGGAACATTTTTGAATGTTGGAAGAGTCAGACTACTGATGACCGTGACATGAAGCAAGTGACAGCCAGTGTGAAGCAGAGACTTCCCTGCTTAGATGCTGAGAAAGCCCACATCATTTATTTATTCTTTCTCTCTCTTTTTTGGGGACACAGTCTACAGACCCTGGCATGACTTTGCGGCTCTGCCGGGCTCTTTGATACTTTCTTCTTAGTTGTCTCACTGTATTAACTGTTATCCTGAAGCTGGGGCATGCTTCCACTGAAATGGTACCATTAAGGCTCCCATTGCAGAGAACCTGGCTTTACGGTGGTTTTCCATTTGGCTAATGGCGTTTATGTTGGCTTTTGTCTTTTGCAGTTCTCAGGGGCTATGGGGACCTCCCACCAGGCCTTCCTGGTCCTCAGCTGTCTCCTCACGGGTACGTATATGCATCTCTGCCCTCTCAACTCACAGTCCCAGGGAACTTAATGTTTATTCTCTGTGATCCGGGGGCCTCTTCACCTGCACAGAGGCCGAATGGGGGTGAGAAGAAACCCACAGTTCTGTAGGGTGACCGGCAACTTCTGGTGCCCTTCGCTGAATGGCACTAACTCCATTTCAAAACAAGTGCTTCCCGTCAGGACTCTGAGGTTTAGGAATAATTTTGGCAATGAAATGCTTTCTATATTTGCCTACTACTACTCTTGCTCTCCCTGGGATGGGTTTGCATCAAAGAAACAATGGGATCAATTAGAGCATATTTGATAGAATAAAGACTCAGGCAATCGTTCACCAGGCTTGGTGGCTCAGGCCTGTAATCCCAGCTACTTGGGAAGCTGTAGCAGGAAGATCACAAATTCAAGGCCAGCTAGGACTACATAATGAGACCCCCTTTAAAAAAAAGAAAAGTGAAGAGAGCTAGGGAGATAATACGCAGTGGTGGAGAGCTTGCCTGACACCCGTTAGATTTCATCCACAGGTCTGTGTGTTGCAATATGACTCTAAAGTTAGGCACCAAGGGAAACTAGAGACCATTATTTAACAATTAAGTCATAATGTGTCTCCTTTCATGCTACAGACAAGGGAAGCTAGGCTGAAACTTGAAGCTTGGAGATGAATTTCAATTCCCCCTCCCCTAGTTTTATTTCTTATTTGTGAATTTAAACCCATGCCTTCCTGCTTTGGCTTTGGAAATCATCAAGGAGAGATGGCGTGCCAGAGGGCCTCAGTGAGGAAAGACGAGTGATTCTTGAGTGAGCCCAGATCTGCTCACTCTGTGCTTTGTTCGCTCTATCTCCCTGTTCCTCTTCTCACATCTCATGCCCACTTTTTTTTTTTTTCTTTTTTAACCAAGGAAAACTTCTGCAGGGCATATGCACGATAAAGAACCCATATGTGCTTGAGCCCCGACCGCACTGGGATATTTTATGGTCACACATAAAAGTGAAATATGGAATTGGAATCAGACATCCTTTATCCATTTGAGTGTTTGGAGGGGTGAATCTGGGGGGCTTGGTGGGTCTGTTGAGGCCGTTGGAACACTTGCTACTCTCAGCAGATGCAGCGGCTGTCATAATGGGGGGCTTTTCATGGGCCTCCAGAGGGATGGAGCTTCACGTAGAAACGGTCGTTGTTCATGTGAGCTGCTACTGTGGCCGCTCTCAGTGTTCTGGAGAAACCCTCCTTTCTGGCTCACCCCATTCAATGCCTGCGTCTTTGTACAGGGCCGAGCCTCGTCTCCTGCCAGCTCTTATTACCCTCCATCCTTCCGAACGAGAATGAGAAGGTTGTGCAGCTGAATTCGTCCTTTTCTCTGAGCTGCTTTGGGGAGAGTGAAGTGAGCTGGCAGCACCCCATGTCTGAAGAAGACGACCCCAATGTGGAAATCAGAAATGAGGAGAACAACAGTGGCCTCTTTGTGACAGTGCTGGAAGTCGTCAACGCCTCAGCGGCCCACACCGGATGGTACACTTGCTATTACAACCACACTCAGACGGAAGAGAGTGAGATTGAAGGCAGGCACATTTACATCTATGTGCCAGGTGAGGTGCAGAGCTATCCTAGACAAAGCTACTTCCTGTCCTGTCTCTGATTCACTGTGTTAAGGTCCACAGAACACGTAAAATTCATACATGTTTATTGCAGAGAAATTGAAACATAGAAAACAATTTTTCCTTCCTTCATCCCTCCCTTCTTCTCTCTGTTCTTGCCTTCCTCCTCCTCTCCCCACCTTTTGCTCATAACCCAGAGGTGGACACTAATGTCTTGATCTCTCATTTTATCTTATTCACTCTCTCACTGAGGTCGGAGCTAGGTTGGCAGCCAGCAAACCCAAGTTATCCTCCTGTCTCCACCTTCCACATTGCTGAAGGTATAGATTTTCACATGCGTGTTTGGGATTTGAACTCAGGTCCTTATACTGATACAGCAAATGCTCTTACTGAGTCATCTCCTTAGCTCTGTTTGTCTGTCTGATTTTGGTTTTTGTGACTTTTGCTTTGTAGTTTTGGCTGTCTTAGAACTTGCTATGTAGTCCAGTCTGGCCGCCAACTCACAACTCTTTGGCTTCGGCCTCCTGAGTGCTAGAATTAAAGGCATGTGCTACCATGCTTAGCTTGCTTCTTTCTTTCTTTCTTTCTTTCTTTCTTTCTTTCTTTCTTTCTTTCTTTCTTTCTTTCTTTCTTTCTTTTTTCAAAGATAGGATCGTCTTTGTAGCCCAAACTGGCCCTGATTCATCATTCTCACCTCCTCACCTCACTTCCTGAGTCTCAAGAGTTATAAGCATGCGTTACCATACTCGGTTTTTTTGTTGTTGCTTTTGAGACAAGTTCTTGCTATGTTGCCCCGGACATACACAAACTGCCTCAATCATTCCTCCTTAATCTTTTAAGTATCTGAGTCTACCCACTTTATGATCAACAAAATATACAAGATTAAGTAAAGATCTTTTGCACTTTCAAATTAAGAAAAACTCATGGGAGGCTCGGGGAGATAGTGCAGGTGTAGGGAGCATTCCCTAGTCTTTCGGGGGACCCAGGTTTGGCACCTAGTGCTCACATGGATGCATCAATCTGTTACTCCCACTCCAGATTAGCGCCCTCTCCTGGCCTCTGCCAGCACTGCACATGTGTTACACCTGTATACGTCTAGCCCAAACACTCATATGCACAAATGAATGTTATTTTAAAAAAAGAAAGATTTGTGGCTGGGGATATAACTCAGTGGCAGAACACTTCCTTATCATGTGGGAGGTGGTAGATCCCACCCAGAGAGAAGTATTTACTGACAACATGTCAGAGCTTTATTAGTTTTGAAGATAGCTTTTACCAAGGCATGTCTTTTATTGGTATGGTGCCAAAACCAAAAATCAAATGTAGTCATTCTATTTTATTCAGTCAAGTGAAAAAGCACTTACATGCCTGTTGTAGGAGACAGAATCAACAAGCAAACCTTGCCTTGGGTATTTACAGTTCAGTAGTGTAGTTTCCAAATAGCCACCCAGTTTCACATCTAATACAAATGTATATTTACTTTAGATGAATTGGAAGGAATTCTTTTTGTCTTTGTCATTAACATTTAGGGGAATTTCCATGTTAATGATATAATCTTGTGTCTGCTGAGGAACAGATGCCAAGATGAAAGTTACGCAAGGGTTTTTACAAGGGGCAAGGCCTAGGAAAAGAGTGGGAGAGTCCTGCATGGTCCTGCTTGACTCTAACTAGGTACTATAGTGCTGGGAGGGTGGGTGTCCTTGCCCATGGACCTATGTTCCCCTCCATCAGTGGTAGGGAGCATGGCCAGGGAGTATGACCTTAGGTTATGGGGCCACCGGGCTAGGGCTTTAGACAGTTAAGCCTCTGTGGTTGGAGGGATGTGCTTTCTCCAGAACCCAGGCTTAGCTGACAGCCTGAGATGTATTTGATCTACCATCCACTTTGCCTTTGCTATGAGCCTTTGCCAACCTGTAACTGTCAGTACGTGTATGTGATGTTGTCTCCATGGAAACTGCATAAAGAAGGACCCTGGTTTACCTTTACGTCATATGCGTAGTACTTACTGATAGGGAAGGTTAGTATTGGGAACGAAAACCCAGCTGAAGCATTAGGGACATTAGTTGATCTATCCGAACTTGAAATTAAGGCATAGCTTTTGTTTGAACTCTTTGTTGACAGGGTTCAAGAGTTTGGAACTCTGAACACAAATTGCAATGATGGGAATTTCAGTGCATTGCTGAAGAGTGTAAAGAGCTTTGGCATTGTAGCCAGGCTGCTTTTACTGCATGTCCATGGGTGCTGGGGATCTGAACTCTGTTCCTCATGTTTTCATGGCAAGCATTGTACCTGCTAAGTCATCTCTCCAGCCCTGAAATGTGAAATTGTCTCTTCTTCTTCTTCTTCTTCTTCTTCTTCTTCTTCTTCTTCTTCTTCTTCTTCTTCTTCTTCTTCTTCTTCTTCTTCTTTTCCTCCTTTTCCTCCTCCTCCTCCTCCTTCCTCCTCCTTCCTCTTCTTCTTTGTTCTGGAACTATGTCTTGTAGACCAGGCTGGTCTCGAACTCACAGAGGTCCACCTTCCTCTGCCTCCCTCTGCTGGGATTAAAGGCCTGTGCCACCACTGCCCGGCCTGAAATGTCTTTTCTAACAATGGAAAACTTTGTTGTGAAAAGAGCAGCTATATATTTGTAATGTCACATATTTATGATGATGATGAAACTAGTAGTGTTAATAATGATAATAAGAACACATAGGTCCCTTCAGTGTCTTTTTTTTCTTTTTAAATCCTGGAGGGCTTTCTGCATGCTATAAACATAATGGACTGTGGGCTTGTTAAAAGTGGCCCCTGAGGTTTCAGTCTGCTTAAACTAGTCCGAATTGTTTTTTTTTTTTTTTTTTTTTTTTTTTTTTTTTTTTTTTTTCTTTCTTCAGTTCCCACCTCCAGTACAAACACCACCCAAGTGGCTCCTGCGTTGTTCTCCTATGGGACCTTCTCCTGGGCAGTTATAAAGCTGGGCCATTTCTGCAGCTGGTGCTTGACACTTAGTACTTCTCACCAGCAGTTTAACTAGAGACTTTGCAAAGAAGGGTTCGGGCTGTAGGATTACCCGTGCTGGGGATGAAGCCCATGGTCTTCGGATAGCTAAGTGCATACTCTGCCTGCCCCTACATCACAGCCTGGGCCTTTTTTTTTTTTTTTTCTTCTTGAGAGATTATTTTTGACAGATATCTGTGCTACTTGTCAATGATACCAGCTATAGGCAGTAGGGGTTTCTTTTCTTTTCTTTCTTTCTCTTTCTTTTCTTTCTTTTTTTTTTTGGTTTTTCGAGATAGGGTTTCTCTGTGTAGCCTTGGAGCCTATCCTGGCACTGGCTCTGGAGACCAGGCTGGCCTCGAACTCACAGAGATCCATCTGCCTCTGCCTCTGGAGTGTTGAGATTAAAGGCGTGTGCCACCAACGCCCGGCCGGCAGTAGGGGTTTCTAAGAGCAGCTCATTAGATAAGAATTACAGCTGGACAAGGTAGTAGACACTTATAATCTAACACCAGAAAAGTTGAGCCGGGAGGACTGATTGTGAGTGCAAGGTCAGTAAGGTCACCCTGGGTCATTTAACAGATTCCAGTCCAGACTGGGAAGCCTGACCTATCTCAAACAAAAGGAAACACAACAAGAATGCAACATATAAATATATAAAATTTTCAAATTTTTAATTTGTCTTCCTAGATGGTATTTCTAATGATTATTGTTCTTTAGCTGTTATCATTTGATTTTAAAGCTACTTTCTGCTTGTCAAAGTAACTAATGGAGGTGGTGTGACTCTCGAATATATGTGCAGAGGTAGCATTCATACCTAGCAAGAATAATGCCAGGCTGGGGTTGTGATTCAGTGGCAGAGAACTTGTCTAGCATGTGTGAGCCTCTGAGTTGTATCCTTAGCACCACCAACACAAATAATAATAATAATAATAATAATAATAATAATAATAATAATAATAATAATAATAATAATAATAATAATAATAATAATAATAATAATAATAATAATAATAATAATAATAATAATAATAATAATAATAATAATAATAATAATAATAATAATAATAATAATAATAATAATAATAATAATAATAATAATACAATAACAATGATGATAATGCCAATGGGATACCTTTTCTGTATGCGTGTCAAAAAATGATAGATTCTTCTTTCTCTCCTTAATATCACAGACCCAGACATGGCCTTTGTGCCATTAGGGATGACGGATTCTTTAGTCATCGTGGAAGAGGATGATTCTGCCATCATACCTTGTCGCACCACAGATCCAGAAACTCAAGTAACCTTGCACAATAATGGTAGGCTGGTGCTGGCCTCTTACGACAGCAGGCAGGGTTTCAACGGGACCTTCAGTGTGGGGCCATATATCTGTGAGGCCACCGTCAGAGGGAGGACATTCAAGACCGGCGAATTTAACGTTTATGCTTTGAAAGGTACTTCCACCTCTTTGAATGAGAGCAACAGGCTAGAGGCTTTTTAAATTGATTGTAGTCACTGGCAGAGGAGATCTGGCTCTGGTTTAGGAATTTAAAATTCTTCTTTCACTATACAATGTGGCTGACCTCTGTAGCTGTAATAATACTGGCTTAGAAACCACCACAGGCTGAACTTGCTTATACGTGTAAGATTGCAGGCTCCATGGAAAATACCGCAAGGAATTCTTTCTTGCATAAGCCTCTTACTATCTGGTTCACATTCTTGACTACACAGCCCTAAGAAACAAACATACACCCCAGGGGGTTGGAGGCCTAGATTAATTTCAGTAACTTAAGAATTAAGTGATTTCAGTTTTGAAGGAAGACTATAGTTAAAGAGGCTAACCTTCTTCCCTTTGAATCGAGGGGTTAGTCAGATTGGTGAAGTCTATCACACATTGGGGCTTGGAGTGGAAGATTTTAGGGAGGACTTTCCATAGACATGGGTCAGAAGCAAGAAAATGTCACTTGCTTCTTGTCACAATTTTATTTTGTTCTGGGCTTTGGGGAGGCACTAAGAATAACGGAGGGGCAGAGCGGAGAAGTGGCAGTCCAGGAGCTCAGAGCCTTAAAGTGACTGGAAAGAGCGCAAACCATAGTTAACCCAAATGCCCAGGCACATGGTGTTCTGCTTAAAGGAGATTAATTTTTACTACTGCTATTATTCTCTATTATAACTACACCCCAAGGATTCAACTAAAAGGCAAGGCTTCCTAGATTTTCCAGCTTTTGTCTTGATCATACTAGTTTGCACATGATTTTTTTTTTTTATCATTTTAAATGTACCTGATTCAGCTATAGGCTTACTTTGAGATCTTAACTATACTGGATTTCCTTTGTCATTTCATTATAGCAACGTCAGAACTGAATCTGGAGATGGAAGCCCGCCAGACTGTGTATAAGTCAGGGGAAACGATTGTGGTCACCTGTGCTGTCTTCAACAATGAGGTGGTTGACCTTCAGTGGACTTACCCTGGAGAAGTGGTGAGTACCCCCAGATATGGAGTGGATGGGGCCAACACAGCAGGACTTGAAATGCCCACATGTCAGTGTTGTTTCTCACATTCCCGAGCTTCTCCAGGCTTCAGCTTCCCATCTGCATAATGAGTACATTTAACTCCAGGGCCTTTACTTGTTTTCAATTGGGGAGGGTTTGAGATGACCATAAGGGACCAGGGTGTTCACAATCCATTAAGACTCCTTTTGAGAAGTCAGAAACAAATAGGAATGCTCTGTGACTATCACACAACAATTAAAACATTAGAAAAGTAACAAATGCCTGGATTTTGAATAGTTCTTCATTGTGGAGGTAGTCATGTATCTTTATTGTCTTGACTCACATGCTTTGGGGTTTTGAGGCATCTGATAGTGTTGTTAGGCATTTATGTTATTATGGTCTATAGCCATCAAGTTGTACAATAGCATACAAGAACTTATTCCTTCCATCTAACTGGAATCTGTATAAAGTCTCATTCACCTGATGGCTATAGTGAGTATATAAGAGATGTGTGGGAGGAATAGGGAATCTAATGCTGAAATGGTGTTTAATGCTGTAGATGGGACCTCATGGGGAACAAAATAAACACATAGAATTCTATATGGGGAACAAGTTCATGTGTCAATTATATGTATTGTACATGTACTTTTCTTTTCTCCTTACTTGTGAGTTGTAAATTTCTGTATCCTGGTCTTTTTGTCATTGGACACATTTGCTTTCTGCTGGCTATTTCTCTCCCATGGTTTTGCTGGCTCTACTTGCCTCCTGACTGTTCTTTTATATCTTTATTCATTATTGGTGCATGTGTGAGGCAGCATCCTTGTCACTGCATGGATGTGTAGGCCAGAGGGCTACTTTTTTTGGAGTCAGTTCTCTCCTTCCACCTTTAAATGGATCCCAGGGGTTGAACTCAGGTTTCTAAGCTTGCATAACGAGTGCCCTCACTCACTGAGCCATCTTGCCCAGCAAGTTGAGTGCTCTTAAATTAGACATTACCTACTCCATGCATTGGGAAACACTCACTGTCTAGTATGTTCCTATACTCCTTGCACTAGAAGGTGGTTTGATACTTTTCTCCCATGGTTTTGCTGGCTCTACTTGCCTCCTGACTGTTCTTTTATATCTTTATTCATTATTGGTGCATGTGTGAGGCAGCATCCTTGTCACTGCATGGATGTGTAGGCCAGAGGGCTACTTTTTTTGGAGTCAGTTCTCTCCTTCCACCTTTAAATGGATCCCAGGGGTTGAACTCAGGTTTCTAAGCTTGCATAACGAGTGCCCTCACTCACTGAGCCATCTTGCCCAGCAAGTTGAATGCTCTTAAATTAGACATTACCTACTCCATGCATTGGGAAACACTCATTGTCTAGTATGTTCCTATACTCCTTGCACTAGAAGGTGGTTTGATAATTCCCCCCTTCATTCTAGATTGCTTTTAATACTTAAAACATGAAACTTCTTTTTCATTTATGAGAGGCAGATAATTCTTAAGCAGAGTTGTTTCTAGAAGGGTGGGCAGCCGGCTACTGACAGGAGTTTGGGTCACTTACCAGTGGCTACGTCATTGAAGAAAATGTCTCTCCTAGCAAACCACTAACTGCTTCCAAGTCCCCTGGGAGGAGTGGGGCCTTGTTGGCTCCTCCTCCTCTACATTCTTATTTTCTATTTCTATTCTTCAGGTTTTATGTTTTAGAGCAGCTTTAGGCTCACAGCAAAATTGCAAAGTACATCGATTTTCTACATAACCCCTGCTCCCACGTATGCTCACCCTCCCGATAGCCAAGCCTCCCACGGAGTGCACATCACTTAGAACTGAGTCCACCTACATCCACAAGTCTTTTTAGGGTCACTCTGGAAGGAGCTTTTCAAACCTCAGTTTTCTTGTGTGCAGAGAAACAAAGGCGTCACCATGCTGGAGGAGATCAAACTCCCATCCATCAAATTGGTGTACACTTTGACAGTCCCCAAGGCTACAGTGAAAGACAGTGGAGATTATGAATGTGCTGCCCGCCAGGCCACTAAGGAGGTCAAAGAAATGAAGAAAGTCACCATTTCCGTCCACGGTACCATACTGTTTTCTTAAATGTCAGTCACTCATGGTACTTGGGATCTGTATGCAGTGATTATTATGTAACGGAAACTCTTGCTTGTGCAGAGAAAGGTTTTGTTGAGATCAAACCCACCTTTGGCCAGCTGGAAGCTGTCAACTTGCATCAGGTCCGAGAGTTTGTGGTGGAGGTGCAGGCCTACCCTACTCCCAAGATATCCTGGCTGAAGGACAACTTGACTCTGATTGAGAATCTCACTGAGATCACCACTGATGTGCAGAAGAGCCAGGAAACAAGGTAAGGGAGGCCTTCAAAAGTCTCTTTTGTCACACGTGTCTTCTTAGAAAGATGTTAGTGCATGTCTGAGCACCCAGACCAAACAGCCTACCAGATGTAAGCTTACAGTCCCATCTTAATCACACTTTCGATACACTTTTGTGATAACGTTGCAATATATCGATAGGTATTTAAGGCAAAATGGAAAGGACCAAAAAGTTGTCCTCCAATGAAAGGCAGCATACTGGATCTAGCTAAAAGTGAAGGAAAGGTGGGGGAATTGGATGTGCTTGGGCTCAATAGACTTCATGATGGTCATCCTATTTCAACAGACAAGGGAACCAATTCCACTTGTGAGGTAATTTACATGTAGACCCACCTGTAACAAAATGCCATCACTTGGAGTGCATCTGCCCCCATCCAGGATTTTGCTGAAAATAAAAGGGGAGTCTGATTAAGTTTGAACAGTGAGTCATTGAGATCCTGGCCTTGGGTGACTGGCAGGTTCTCCCATCTAAGTAGCGTGGCTTTCCCTTGCTCCTGGTGCTGTCTATCAACCCTGGGTTTCTTGTGTGTCTTGCATGCAAGGCAAGCACTCTACCATGGTGCCCCTCCATTTTGTCTTACAGCTGTGAGTTGTGAGTAGAATCCAGGAGACAGGCACAGTTTTTGTTTGCTTAGCGTGCGCACATGCGCGCGCGCGCGCGCGCGCGCACGCACACACACACACACACACACACACACACACACATGTCATGTAAGACACCTCTAATCAGAGGACAGTTTTGGGGAGTCCATTGTTGCCTTGTGCTGCATTGTTCCAGGCTAGCTGTCTCAGGCCTTTGGGGCAAATTCTCCTGTGTCCTCCTGTCTCACACGGGAATGCTGGGTTGTAGATGGGAATCTCTGCATCTGACCTTTTACGTGGGTTCTGGGGATTGAATTCACTCCATCAGACTTGAGCAACAAGCAGTTTTACCAACTGAGCCATTTTAAGTGTTTTCATTGTAAAAGGCTTTGTTTATTTTCACTCAGAAATAAGGCCTTGCCAGAGTTGCTAGCTCCTGGAGATGGCTTATCTCAAAAATACTTGCTTTTTCTATTGTGTCTATGAGTGAATCTTTTCAGTGTGTGGAGGCTAAATCAAGAATTCTATAAAAAAACATTGACTTAATTAACAAGGAAAAGAGACTTTTTTTCTTTTTTCTTTCTTTCTTTCTTTTTTTTTTTTTTTTTTTCGAGACAGGGTTTCTCTGTGTAGCTTTGGAGCCTATTCTGGCACTCTGGAGACCAGGCTGGCCTTGAACTCACAGAGATCCACCTGCCTCTGCCGCCCCAGTGCTAGGATTAAAGGCATGTGCCACCAACGCCCGGTGTGAGACTTTTTTTTTTCAGAAATAAAATTTCAATCAAAGACTGTAATTGGTGTTTATTTGGCTACTGCTAATTGAAATAAAATTCTCTTCTCTTAAGATATCAAAGCAAATTAAAGCTGATCCGGGCCAAGGAAGAAGACAGTGGCCATTATACCATTATAGTTCAAAATGACGATGACGTGAAGAGTTACACGTTTGAGCTGTCAACTCTAGGTATGTAAAAGTCATGTAAAGGTCATGCTTTCTCAGTGACTGACTGTCCTCCAAAGACAGCTTGGATCTTCTCTTCATAGCCTTGGAGGAAAAGCAAGACCTTAGGGTAGAGGCAGGGACTAGACACGGCACATGTCAGGGGTCATGCTGTAGCTCCTACAAATTCACATCTGGTTTGAGCATCTCTAACTCAAAAGTCTGAAATGCTCCAAAATCTGAGACTTTTTTTTTTAATCAAGGAAAGAGGCAAGATAGGGTCTAAATATGTAGCCCAGGCTAGCATTGAAATAGTAATACTCCTGCCTCAACCTCCTGAGTGCTAAGATTCCAGACATATGCCACATATTCCACACGTCAATTAAAGTCTGAAACTTTTTGAGTGTTCACAAGATGTCACAAGTGGAAGATCTTGTGATAGGTCAGAAAATACTCAGGCATATAAATATATTGTGTAAAATTGCCACCCGGCTATGTGTGCAGGGTGTGTATAAATGAATTACTTACTTAGGCTAAGTCCTTCTCTAAGTCCTGTCATTAGGACCCAACTTTTGAAAAGGTCTGAATCTAAAACACTTTTGGAGAAAAGTTTGTTCTGAGAAAAATTTTAAATGAAAGTATGTATTATTTAGTTAAAATTTTTATTTAGTTTAGTTTTTAATATTTATATTAAATATTTATTTAGTTTTATTGAGTTGAAGTTATTACTTAAAGTATGTATTATTTAGTTTTTTAAATATTTATTTTAAAATATTTATCTAGTTTAAATTATTATTTACTTTAAAGTATGTAAAAGTAAATTAAAGATGCATATTTTCCAACTTACTATTATTACTTTGTGATGGAATCCCATGTTTTAAAAACAAATCAAGGGGCTAGAGAGATGGCCTATAGGCAAAGAACACTGGCTGCTCTTGCAGAGGACTGAGGTTCGGGTCCCAGTACCCACATGGTGGCTTACAACCATCTCTAACTTCAGTTCCAGGGGGTCCAATATCCTGTTGTGGCCTTCGTTGGCACCAGACGTGCATGCAGTGCACATACCTACGTGCTGGCAAAACACTTGCTTGTCTCTAGCTTATTTCACTACAAATTGGCAAAAGGTTCTTTAAAAACTAGTGATGTTCCTCGGATGCATTTGGGTGAAGGCTGTTTGACTCTATGCTTTCATCAAATCCATTAGTCAAACCCCAAATGCAAAGAAAATTGGAGTGTCCTCCTTGCCTTCCAAGCTGAAGGACTACAGGCACTTCTCTGTCTGCCCAGTCCAGATCTAAACCATCCAGGCACAAAGCCCCCAGACACTGACACTGAAGTAGCTATTAACTGAGTGGGTCTGTTCCAGCTAGAGTGTTTCTTTCTGTCTAATACAACTGGTGCCTTGAGGACCATTTCTGAACTCATGAGAATGTTCTTTGGAGGCATGTCCCTCCACGGCCAGGGACAAGAATGGTACAGCTCTGACTTCCCCCTTCTTTTTGCAGTTCCTGCATCCATCCTGGAGCTTGTGGATGACCACCATGGTTCTGGCGGGGGACAGACTGTGAGATGCACAGCTGAAGGCACACCACTTCCGGACATCGAGTGGATGATCTGCAAGGATATTAAGAAGTATGGAAACCAGATGTTCCCTATTCTTGTGTGGTCAGAATGTTTCTTTCATGACATAAAGCACCTCAAGTGCATTTGATTTCTTTGGTTGACACTTTTCGTATTTGTGATTCTTCCTTGGCCCAAGGGTCATATTACTCACAAACTACCATAGGGTTCTGAAAGTGGGTGCACATCTTGTGGAGTGTGCGTGTGTGCGTGTGTGCATGTATGTGCTTGTGCACACATGCATGTATGTATGTGTGTCTTCAAAAGGGCCTTTACTTTTCCCTTTTATTCCCCATTGTTTTTCTTTTTTCTTTTCTTTTCTTTTCTTTTTTCTTTCTTTCCCTTTTATTCCCCATTGTTTTTCTTTTTTCTTTTCTTTTCTTTTCTCTTTCTTTTCTTTTTTTTTTTTTTTTGAGACAGGGTTTCTCTGTGTGGCTTTGGAGCCTATCCTGGCACTCGCTCTGGAGACCAGGCTGGCCTCGAACTCACAGAGATCCGCCTGCCTCTGCCTCCCAAGTGCTGGGATTAAAGGCGAGTGCCAACAACGCTTGGCCCCCTTGTTTTTCTATTTCTCTTTTAAAACTGTCTCCGGTGTCAAGACAAGAAGGATTTTAAGAAGCACTGTCATTCAAGAATTTTAACTGCACCAGCCTATATTTTTAGCTCAGTCTTTTTATGAGACAAGGTCTCACTATACAGCCCAGTTTGACATCAAACTTAAAATTCTCTTGCTTTGCCCTCCCAAGTTTTGGGGTTACAGGGGTGCACCACCACTGCTGGCAAGCTCACTTTTCTGATTTGGTAAACTTTATCTTAGTGGCTAGACTGGCATACCATCAGAAGTGAAAACAGTGCTGTATGACTGCTCACAGCCCTTTGTTCTTTGGAGGCCAGAGGTGGGCCTTGGATTCCCTGAAGCTGGAGTTGTGAGCTTCCCAATGTGGGTGCTTGGAACCGAACTTGGGTCCTCTATAAGAGCAGTATGCACTCTTCAGTGCTGAGCTTCTCTCTAGTCCCTCCTCCACCCTCTTAAATGGGCCATGAACTGTGTGTTCACATTTATCCCCATGGCAACTAGCTGTGTTCAGAATGCTTCTAGTGTGTCTCTGCTGAAGGATGAGCTTTCTGCTTCCCCCTCACCCAGGACTGTGGGGCAACTTAGGTGCTGGAATCTCTGGATCTAATAACTTAATCCAGAAGGCTACTGCAGCCTTAGGGACTCCTTAGAAGTGATGAGGAGGGAGAGTGTTTTTGAAGGAGTGAGAAATTGGAATTATTAAACACGTCTGATGCTGTCTTCACAGTTCGCTCCCAGGTTCAAGATTTTGGATTGGTAGTTGTGTTTTGTTGAGTTTATCTGCCTCCTTCACAAACTTAGTTATCAGTATGAGATTACTCCTCTTGAGCAGGTGCAAATGAATTTTTATGTGAGTAAATATGCGTGATAAAATGAGAAAACTCACCTATGGCAACCCCCAAATGTGTGCAAGGTCAGAAATGTGGAAAGGTTCCTGGTCTTTGTGAGCCGTGGTAATTAGACCTCCAATTTTGTCATGTTCTCTCTAGATGTAATAATGACACTTCATGGACAACTTTGGCCAGCAACGTCTCAAATATCATCACAGAGTTCCATCGCCGAGGCAGGAGTACTGTAGAGGGACGAGTGTCCTTTGCCAAAGTGGAAGAGACCATTGCAGTTCGATGCCTGGCAAAGAATGACCTTGGCACTGGGAACCGAGAGCTGAAGCTGGTGGCTCCTAGTGAGTTTCTCAGTAGGCAGGACAACTCCAGGTCACCAGCCAAGCCCTGTCTTCCTCAGGTGGGATGTGGAATCCCAGACAGGGGTCACATAGTAATGAAGGTCCCAAGACAGGAATTCAGCCCTGTCTGCACTTGAAGCACAGGTCTTGCTTTCATTTGCATCCACAGACCCAGCCACATTCGAAGAAGCTCTGGACATTTTTGTTTGTCAAATATAGTATAGCTACTAAGCCTCTTTAGTTTGATCATAGGTGTTGGAGTGAAAAATGAGGAGGAAGAATCTTTTGTCTCTTGCTCCTTAGAACAGCTGAGTTGGGTTGAAGTCTTCCAAAGAAACAAAGGAAGGAATGGGGCCCAAAGACAGGAACAAAAGGCACAATGCCACATTTCACTTCACCGTAATGCTTATGAGGTGGTTGTTTCTGCAAATGAAGTTGCTACCAACTCATTCCCAGCCTTTGTTGTCTCTATTCAAATTGCCCAAAAGGGGATCCTTGGAGCATCTTTGGAAAAAGTGTTTTGTCCCAGGTGAGAATTACACTTCATTCAGGGGTACAAGTGTTTGAGAGATGGTATTGGCCACCCCTAAAGTGAGCTAGGGAGCTTGGACACTTCCCTGACAGCACTAAGACAGTTGTACTCAGGCTCAGCCACTTCCTTTCTGTTCTCTGCCCTCGAATAACTGAGGAACTTCTCCACCATGTCTCTCTTTTGCCCCGCAGCCCTGCGTTCTGAACTCACGGTGGCGGCTGCAGTGTTGGTACTGTTGGTGATTGTCATCGTTTCTCTCATTGTCCTGGTTGTCATTTGGAAGCAGGTGAGTCTTTGGAGCCATTAGAACAAGAACAGCTGCCTCTTTCAGTGTTTGGTCCAGAGAAGGGGCTTGGTAATTTACATGGTGTGGTGGAGTATGTTAGATACATATGTGGTGAACAATCATGCTACATACATGTGTATAGATACATGTGTGGTGGACTATGTTAGATACATGTGTGATGGATGACTGTGGACTATGTTAGATACATGTGTGATGGATGACTGTGTTAGACACATGTGTGATGGATGACTGTTAGATACATGTGTGGTGGACTATGTTACATACATGTGTGATGGATAATTGTGTTAGATACATGTGTGGTGAATGACCATGTTATATATATGTGTGGTGGATGACTGTGTTAGATACTTGTGTGGTGGACTATGTTACATACATGTATGGTGGACTGTGTTAGGTACATGTGTGGTGAACCAATTTAGACCTTCCCAGGTCTAGTCACTTTGATTCTGCAGTGAAGCTTGGGTGCCTTAAGACTGATAATTCACCAGTTACCTGCCCTGGTCTTTACAGAAGCCACGCTATGAAATTCGCTGGAGGGTCATTGAGTCTATCAGCCCCGATGGACACGAATATATTTATGTGGATCCAATGCAGCTGCCTTACGACTCCAGATGGGAATTCCCGAGGGATGGACTAGTGCTTGGTAAGTTCCTGTAGGGCAAACCTCCCAGGCCTCCAGTATTACCCACCCAGCTTTGCTAATTATAGGCCTGGAGAAGAATTAGGGACTTGAACTCTGTCTGGTAGGAAATTTGCTCACAGAGCTGGGTGTGGCGGCTCACACTCTTCAGGTCAGCACTAAGGAGGCTGAAGGAGGAGGACTGTGAGTTCAAGGTGAGCCTGGGCTACATAGACATCTTGAACATAAAGCTCATTAGGCCTGAGAAGGGGGAGTCAAGGTTCAGAAGCTGTCTAGCCTATGTGAGGCCCCAGATTCTATTCCCAGAACTGAAAAAGGGTAGAATTAACTGGGCGTGATTATATATATCTATAGAGAGTTAGACCTATAGGTAGTGAATACCTATAGGACGGTGGAGGCAGAAAAATCATGAGTTCAGTATCATCTGAGGTATGTAGTGTGTTGCAGGCTAGCCTGGGCTACATGAGACCTTGTATCAAAATACCAAAAGGAAAGGAACTCTTAATTGTATCAGTGGAATGATTTTCCAAAGATGGAAAATGAAGTGAACTTCTGTGATTAAAAAGGACTAGCTGAGAAGTAAGATAACTCAGTATGATATAATCTGCATATTTTTCTTTATATATATGTAATGTAGAATATAAAGGCACATGCTAGTGTTGTGGTGCACGACTGTAATCCCAGTGAGGCAGGAGGATTGGGAGTTCAAGGCCATTCTCAGCTACATACAGAGTTTGAAACCAGTCTGAGCTACATGAGATCCGGTCTCAAGAACCCTGAATCAACTCTCTCCTGTCTACACACACACACACACACACACACACACACACACACACACACACTTAGTTTAGAGTGAAACATAAAAATCAAGACAGTTTGTCAAACATTTCAAAGATTTCAATCCTGGGTTGGAACCAAAAAAATGAAGTCCCGATGAGTTTTGTAGTCACATTCTAAATAAATAAAAACCAGACCGAGGCAAAATGAATTTAGACCTACAGGTTATGTCACAATCAAGGGGCTCTCCAAATTCAAATGTGGTTTTGTATTATCTGTCTGTCTCATTCCAAAGCACAGCCAAGCTGAGATCTTAAACAGTCATCAAACTGTCAGCAAGGGAGGCGGCTTCACTTGTACCTATGCTTCTTTATTGTATTTCCCACCATGCTTCCCCAAGGGGTACAGTGCTTAGAGAAGTTAAAAGTAATAACCCTGGGGCTGGGACAGGCAAAACCCCTGCTGTTTATCACTTTGTTCTTGGCCCCTTGGGCAAGCCCAACTTGTTGGAAGAACAAAACCTTTCCAGGAATGGATGCCAGAGGCACAGACTGGAAGAAAGGGTATGTCCACTTGTGGTGTCTTTTTCTGCCTGGGCCGTCCATGGTCAGACTGGCTTCCTGAAAGTTTCCCCCACCCCCACCCAGACCATGGTCTCTTTAAGAGTGCAGACAGCAGCTTTGATTTTTTATTTTTATTTTATTTATTATTATTATTATTGGTCTCTCTACACAAAGAAGGGCTGGGCTGGCACACACAGCCTCTGGTCCAGGGACCTTCTTCCTTCATGACAAAGACGATGAGTCCAAGTTTTTGTTTGGGTGTTCCTCAGAAACAGTAGCATTTGGAATACTGAGGATTTCCAGTGGTTAAGGATTTGTTAGTGCAAAGTTTGCCTCTGTCTGCATGAGAGAAGCAGAAGGATGGAGAACCAGGGGGTTTGGGTGGAAGCCATGGAGGCGAGTGCACAGGAGCCCAGGGCCTGGCGGGAACCCATGTTCACACCAGGGATGGCTAAGCTTGCCTTTCTCTTGTCTGTGTTTTCCTTTCCATTGCAAATGTTATTTGACAAAAGCAATTACACTAATTTCCTTCCCTGTGGGCTCAATTCTTTTTTGACATGATGACTTGGAGGAATAATTAGGCTTACTCAATATTCAGGAAAAACACCCACCCAGCTGTAAACCCTTGTACACTGGCCTCCGCTAGTAAAGTGGGGGACCTGGGGCTAGCGTTGATGGCTCTGTTTGCCCACAGGTCGGATCTTAGGATCTGGTGCATTTGGGAAAGTGGTTGAAGGCACAGCCTATGGATTAAGCCGGTCCCAGCCTGTTATGAAGGTGGCAGTAAAGATGCTTAAACGTAAGTATGTCTTCCCAGGGGTGCTTTGAACTTGCAAATATCAAGTGACTTGGCAGTAAATTTAATATCATGTTGTGATTCTTCAGATTCTAAATCTTATGTGGATTTAGGTTTTTGTTTTTTCTCTCTCATTAGGTTTCTCTTGCTTTTGTCACTCATTGTTAAAAATCAGATGATTCATTTCTAGTGACTTTTTTTTAACATAAAGACTAGGGACTATGGGGCTGGGAAATGGCTCAAGGGGTAAAGTGCTTTCTGTGCCAACATGAGGACTTGAGTTCTGATCTCTCAGCATCCATATAGGAAGCTGGAAGTGGTGGTATGCTGCCATAAACTAACACTGTAGGGAGGCAGGAGGAGACAGGTAGATTTTGGAAGCTAACTGGCCAGCTAGGTTAGTCAACCTGACAAGTGCTCAATTTAGTGAGAGACCCTGTCTCAAAATATAAGATTGGGAAATAGTTGAAAAAGATATCCTGATATCAATCTCTGGCTTCTGTGCGTATTTGTACCAGCAAGAGCGCGCACACACACACACACTCATTAGAGTCTAGACTAAGGACCATCTAGGACTCTTCTTTGAGACCCTTGGTAAAGAAATATCACTGAGTCACAATGTTAGATGTGTTTGTCTGAGAACCAGGAGTAGGTAGTACAGTTGAACTGCAATCTCCTTTACTCCAACAGCTACAGCAAGATCCAGTGAAAAGCAAGCTCTCATGTCTGAGCTGAAGATAATGACCCACTTGGGACCACACTTGAACATCGTGAACTTGCTGGGAGCCTGCACCAAGTCAGGTAGGCTCCCTGACCCGGAGTGGGGGTGTGCTGGGAACACTCATGGCTGTGTTAACCCAGCCTCAGGCACACATTCCCGTCTCTGCACCCCAAACATGAGTATAAAGCTCATAAATGGAGCCCACTGGTTGTCTAGACTCTTTGAAAGTTCATTGGTTCTGAGTGTTAAGGCTTCTTTTTGCTCCTCGTTTTTTATACTTGACTGCATTTGGTCCCTACAGGTCCCATTTACATCATTACTGAGTACTGCTTCTATGGTGATTTGGTCAACTATTTGCATAAGAATCGAGATAGCTTCATGAGCCGGCACCCAGAGAAGCCAAAGAAAGAGCTGGACATCTTTGGATTGAATCCTGCCGACGACAGTACAAGGAGGTAAGTAAGAAGGGAGCCCACTGTGTCCTTGTCACAGCATCATAAAAGGCAAAAAAGCCTGTTCTGACAGATTCTTGGCCAGCAACAGAGGCCACAAGGCTTAGAGCCTACCTAGCCATCTATGTCAGCATGGATGGATTCATAGCTGCAGGTGTTCGGGACTAGGTCATTACATGGGATGGCTATACTGATAGGTTTGAGTGATAGTGGGGGCTGGGGTCCTCCTGAAAGTGTTTCTCTATTTTGTATGTGATTCCTCAGGACACATAAATGCAGCTCTGGCCAGGGAATATCTAGATTTGTGCATTGCAAGGAGCTTTTAGAGGATCTCCAGGCTTGAGCTGTTGGTCCTTGCTGAACTTGGGCCAGTGATACTCACTTATCTCCACTGCTAAAACTTCCAAGGCTGTAAAGCCTATGTATGTGAGGTTCTATAGGATCAGAAAGTCCAAGGACCTCCCTTGCTATTAAGTTACTTAATGGACCCCAAATGGATGCTCTGTTTATTGAGTCAAAGGAATTGTCTGTCTGAGCTGCATGGCCACATGGCTACTGAATCAACAGAGGACAACGCTGAATTGTCCTTACTGTCATGAACTTTTCAACCCTGCAGTGTACCAGAACCAGAGCATTTTGTGTGTTTATGGGAATGTAGACCTCGACTTCCCTGTAGCTCTTGGGGGATGTCTCTGCTACTTACACTGAGGACAGAGAAGTAAAACATGAAGAATCATGGCAGCTACCATTTGTGGAGCCCAGCTTACCCTATAGTGTTTCCCTTCCATGTAAACAGTATTGATTTTACAGACTCTTTAGAGAAGTGTTTGCTTCCTCCCAGATGGGCATATTCCTGCCACGTCATCAAAATCATCCTTCCTTCCCAGTGCGCCTGGGCTTGAGATGCCTCGGGCATTTGTGACTGATTAATGTTCATCTGTCTGCCTGGACCACCCCATGCACTGTGTGCACATGGTGATTGTGTATGCTCATCCCTGAGACCCTGACACCTCTCTCAGTTAATGGCACTCTGTAGGTACCCACATTAGCGTGTCGTCTACTGAGTGACTGAATTAGAGGCCACTCAGGGTGAAATTTCTTTTTCTTTTCTTTTTTTTGCAGTTATGTGATTTTATCTTTTGAAAACAATGGTGACTACATGGACATGAAGCAAGCTGATACCACACAGTATGTCCCCATGCTCGAAAGGAAAGAAGTCTCTAAATACTCTGACATCCAGAGATCGCTGTATGATCGGCCAGCTTCCTATAAGAAGAAATCTATGCTAGGTAAAAGTGCTCTTTCTGGCAAATGTGATCTCTCTGTGGTTTGATGTGACACTCAGAGGAAGGGGAACTGGGATGAGGGGTACATCTGTCAGACGTGTGATCCCTAAGTGCAGGTCTGTTCAGCTGGGCCTAGATGTCTTTTGTAGATTTGTAGTCTGTGAGTGAGCAGAATAACAACAGGATTAGTGATATAGCTCAATGGTATATTGCTTGTCTGGTGTGTACACAGTTCATTCTCTAGCACTGAAAAAAAAAAAGAGTATATAGTATTGTGAAGATAAAAATAAAGAACGAAGACAGATATGTAATCCATTTTTTAAACTTGAAATGTAGTTGCTTTAAATAAATAATTCATCTTGTTATAATGATCTTTTCTTGTTAACATGTCTTTTGTTAAAAAATGAAAGTGGTGATAATTGATGTTTTTTGTTTTTTCCCCCCATGGCCAAACTGAAAGTTGGCAATCTTACAATGTTTCTTCATGTTTTTTTTTTCTTTTTTTTTTTCTTTTTATGTGTGTGCGATAATCCTTGCTTTTAGCTTTCCTAACATACAATTTGTGTTGGTAACTGGAGAGTAGTGAGTTTGAGGTTACATTTTCTGACAAGTATTTCTACTGACTGTTGTTTGAAAGCGGTCCCTTCTGCTTTGAAAACAGAAGCGTATGTGGTGGGGATAAATTCGTTTGTCAACTCCAGGGTGCCACGTGGTGATGCCACGCCAGATGGACCACCCCATGCCTGCTCTGGGGTGGCCACTCTAGGGGTCTCGCTTAACCACTCACTCAAAGTGAGCAGTGTCTACATGAGCCTGATGTTTTGTGATGCCGCTTTTGTGGGTTGGAGCTGCTCATCAGCTGCTGCAAAACTGTTCAGCTGTCATGGAGATTGTTTTGAAATTAAAAAAATCTCTAATGAGCTCTGAATGCTTTCAGGGTTCTTACACTGAAGGTACAGTCCCCGAGAAAATAAGTGCTTGTTTTGTAAAAGCCAATATGCAGCAGTGTTTTCCATATCTGCAGTTCCATTTACTTCCCATTGCCAAATGGGTAAACTTCCAAACATGTCTTAAAGTTTACATGATGAGAGCTATTGGAAGCAGTGCTTCCTTTCCACTCACATATGGTTAAAAATAGTTTACATTGCTTCCCGGGCAGAGCTGGTGGGCCTGAGTCATGCTCGGCCTGGGTCCTGCTGGCAGGCAGACCACGGTTTTCTGGCCTACCCGTAGCTGGCTGGAAAAAATATGAATGGCTGAAGCCGCTCATCACTGGCCTGAAAATCGTCAAGAAGGACTGTGAACTGCTGGCCTAGATTGCTTTCCTCGAAATATCTGGGGCCCTTCCAGATGGGATGAATAGGGGAAAGTGGACAAGTTACAAGGGGAGCTCGGTGCCTCGTCGTGGGCACCATCCTTTAAGATGGCCGCCTGGTCTGTTTGGTTATTTGATTTGGCTGGCAAAGTATACACAAAGTAAAAAGGAAATAAAGCAAACCTCAAGTTTGCCACAGACGATTTCTCTCTCTCTCTCTCTCTCTCTGTGTGTGTGTGTGTGTGTGTGTGTGTGTGTGAATCTACAAGATGGCTGTGGTGATTGTGACTAGGGGCAAAATGAAATTCAAGGGCAAACAGACGTCTGTGTGTAAGAATCTGTGGAGGAGATTGGTTTGACTAATCATTATGCATGTGACTGTCTGCCCCCCAGGTATGTGTTTGTGCATGCAGGCTGGGTATCTCTTTTCTGAAGTGCTTGGAACAGAATGTGTTTTGAATTTTTTTTTTTTCAGATTTGGGAATATTTACATATACATAATGAGATATCTTAGGGGTTGGGAGCCAAATCTAAATAGAAATTCATATCTGTTTCATACACACCTCAGACACATAGCTGACAGTTATTTTATACAATATTTTTTTTTAGTGTGCTTGTGTTTTGACTGTGATCTGTCACATGAAGTCTGGCATGGGAATTTCTACTTTTGCCATCACATTGGTGCTAAATAAGTTTTGGATGTTTGAAGCATTTTAGATTCATGATTTTGGGTCAGGAATGCTCAACCTGTATATATTTCTTTTGGAAGGAAGAGCTATTATTTCTTCTTTCTATTTTTTACAGTGCTGGGGGTTGAAATGCGTGCTTCATGCATGCTGGGCAAATTCTCTGCCACTGAGCCACACCCACAGCCTCCTTTGCATAGTTTCTGCATCCTGTGAAGTCTAGAAACTATGGGAAAAGGCTTTTGGAGGAAATCTTTGGACAAACTTCTGCAAGCTGCCAGACCAGGGGGTGTCAGGGTGCTGGGGGCCCCATGTTTTTAGCCAACACCAACACATTTGATTCCTTTCCCACAGACTCAGGAGACAAAAACCTCCTTTCTGATGATGACTCCGAGGGTCTTACTTTGCTGGATTTATTGAGCTTCACCTATCAAGTTGCCCGAGGAATGGAATTTTTGGCTTCCAAAAATGTAAGTTCAAGTCACAGAGACCTCTTCAGACCCAGCCATGGATTCAGAGGGAGGGGACATGGAAAGAAATGCTGGGATGAAGAGCTAAGAGTAGTAAGGAGTAAATACTACCTCTTCCTAGTCTCCCCAAACTGGCTGGAAGTCTGACATCACTGGGTGTTTACCTTCCTTCAGTATCCTTCATTCCTCGGGAGGAGTCAGGATTGGGAGGGAGGCAAGTTTTTCTTGCCAGGGCACCCTACAAATGCCACCATGGAGTGGGCCATCTTGCAGGAGTGCTGCTACTTGGCCTCAGCAAGAGCCATTCTCAAGCGGTTTCTTTCTTTCCCATATAGTGCGTCCACCGGGACCTGGCTGCCCGCAACGTACTTCTGGCACAAGGGAAAATTGTAAAGATCTGTGACTTTGGCCTGGCCAGAGACATCATGCACGATTCCAACTACGTGTCAAAAGGCAGTGTACGTTCCCTCCACCCTCACTGTTTGTCCCCAACCCCTTTAACCTCTGAAGTTGTTGTGTTTCTTAATTCAGGAGTCATAGTTTTGAAATAGGTTCACAAGGTTCATTAGTTGGCCCCAGAGGTCTTATTAGGGAAAGCTTTGGCTTAACAGACACCCTGGTATCAGCTCCACCCCGTAACAGGGCTGGTATTTGGCCAAGTTTATTGTCTATCTCATGCCTTAATTTCTCAGCAGCATTACCCATTTCCTAAATTGCTACCAGGGAATAATTTAGGTAATTCATGTAAAGTGCTATAGACAGTACTTGACATGTAGGAGCACCCAGCAGGAGCTGGAGAGATGGCTCATTGGTTAAGAAGAACACTTGCTGTTCCTCCTGAGGATCTGGGTTCAATTCCCAGACCTCACATGACAGCTCACAACTGCCTATAATAACTGCAGATCTGGGGATCTGATGCCTTTTTTTTTGGCTTTCATGTGCTCTAGGCATGCATGTGGTGTGCAGACATTGAAGGCAAAATGCCCATTCATGTAAAATTAAAAACAAAGAACCAGTTAGACACACCCAGTAAGTGTTAACTCCCAATAAGTCAAGTATGTATGCGTATGCAAACATGCATTTCCAGGGAGATCTTTAGTGCCGAAGTTCTTATTAGCTTTCCAAGAGGCAAGTTTACGCTTTAGAAGATTAAGACTGCTGGAGTTAATAGGAGGGTTCGGTTTCTTTAAAGATAGTTTCATTATCTACTTGACCCACCTTCTCCATCCCTTCAACCTGTAAGCACATGAGTACTTTAGGACACATCTGACACCGGGAGGTATGATTATATGTCACTTTATTCCACTGGTGTAAGACAGCTCACAGGCCAAAGAGTCTGCTTAGGCAGGACAGTGGCCTCTGTCCATGTCTGTGCCTCAGACTCATGACTCATGCCCATGACCATAGCTGTGGCCCTTCCCAGGCACCTTGAACAAGTTGGTAAACTTGGGTGAAAATGATTTCTCACCTAAGGTTATGAATGGTTGCTGCTGTTTTCTTCGAATTTTGGGTGTGCTAAAGGATGCTAGTCTGAAGGATGCTTCGTTATGTATCTGTCTAGACTTACTATTTCACCTGAAGTTTGGACCAGCTTTGCAAAAGAGACACATCTCTGTGTTTTTGATGGTGGAAAATAACCACTTATTTCTTAGAGTTTGGAAGTTGTCATTTGTATACAGGTAGCTATCTGTTTTTAGTTTTGTTCTTAGGGTTACCTGAAAACAGGGGGACTGGTGTGGTCAAAGGTCGCACTGTTGGTAAATTGAAAGTTAAATGTTTTTAGGGTATTATTCCTTCAGAAGAGATAAGAAGGGACATTGATATTCCTTGTTTGTTATTATTATTAAGAATCTATACAGTGGACTAGGGAGATGATACAGTTAGTGAAGTGCTTGCTGTGGAAGCAGCCATACCTGAGTTTGATCTCCAGAATTCATGTAAAAAGTCAGACTTAAGGGCTGGTGCTTGTAATCCCAGTGCTGGGGAGGTGGAAATTCAGCTAGGCAGCCTAGCTGAATTGGTGAGTCCCAGGCTGGTGTGAGGTCGTCTTACAAACAAACCTATGGGTGGACTGTATCCTGAAGAACAGGAACACACACACACACACACACACACACACACACACACACACACACACACACACCCCAAGCACCTGCATGCCTACATATACATACACAACATTCCTAGTTGCCAGTGAAGAATAGACACATGAGAAACATGATGCAGGCAGGATCTTTAAGGCATTACTCACAGCCCAGGGGAAGCCTTTTCTGTTTCTTCTTCTGCAGACATCAGAGGGTAGCCTGTGAGTTAATTTCCTCTCTCCTTCTCCACAGACTTTCCTGCCCGTGAAGTGGATGGCTCCTGAGAGCATCTTTGACAACCTCTATACCACACTGAGTGACGTCTGGTCTTACGGCATTTTGCTCTGGGAAATCTTTTCCCTTGGTATGGGCTTAACTGTTCTGCTAGTTTGGCTTATTCTGAAGGGTTATGTGTCTGCCTCGGGTCTGGGATGCCAGCATCTGGGATGACACACGCAGTGTCAACCATTCACACTGCACCTGTTTCACTCCACAAGTCTGCCCTTATCATGTCTGATGTAGGCTGAGTAAGACCCAGAGCAATCTTTGGGGGATGTTTCTTCACCCCTGGCCACTGCCCTTTTTCTCTCCTGGGTTGTGTCACAGTGATTTACCCCCACAGAAAGGGCTTCTGATGACATCTGCCTTTTCATTTTGGACTCCTGGCTAGATAGTTCACTGATAGTTTCCTTTCCTTTACTCCATGGTGAATGAGGCCCAGGTGAAAGGTGATGAGGCCAGGAAGCGGGTGTAGCTCCCCATCTTGAGGAGATAAACCTCCTTCACATTGATCACTTGTCACCAGGGTCTGGACAAGTCAGGCGCCTGCTGCCAGGGGAGGGTTGTAAGCGAATGATGAGAGATGACTGTGACCTTTGGGGACATATGGGCTACACAGTTATAGGTAAACCCTGTAAGCTGTAATGTGGGCTCATGGGAAGGAGAAAGGAGTCTTGGAGTAGAAGCTTCAGACAGGAAGTCAAACTTGACCTGGCCTTGACTGTGTGCTCAGTGCACCGCTATTCCTCCCCGAGCTCCATTCCTGAAGACGGGTACTCCCTTAAAACAGTGGCTTATCTACATTTCAGGTCCCAGCTTTGAATCGGGCTGTAATTGTTTGAACATTTGTGATGAAAATGGCATTCTTGTGCTGGGTGTGGTGGGGCATGCCTTTAATCTCAGTACTCGGGAGGTAGAGGCAGGTGGATCTCTATGAGGGCAGCCTGGTCTACAGAGTGAATTCCAGGACAGCCAGGGCTGTTACATAGAGAAATCCTGTCTCAAAATAAACAAACATACAAACAAACAGACAAGAAAAAAAATGACATTCTTAACTTTAGTGACTTAGAATACCTCCTCGCCTTTTGACTATGTAAATATAGATCTAATAGTTAGAAACACTATTAAATTCAGTAGTGATTTTTTTCTAAAGTTGTATACTTTTACCAAAGATGCTTGGACTTGATCAAGCAACACTCCTCTGTCAAGTCAGAGCAGTCCTCCATAGTCTAGGAGATGCCAACCTACAAGTTCTTTGGAAGAATGGGGACATCAGGGCTTCAGGATGAAAGGAGTGTGGTACAAGTAGAAGCCCTTAGTCATCAGTCATCTTTTTTGGCTCTTAGGTGGCACACCCTACCCTGGCATGATGGTTGATTCTACTTTCTACAATATGGCCAAACCTGATCATGCCACCAGTGAAGTGTAAGTTCCCTCCCCACCTGTAGGCTGGTGCCCACGCTCCAGGGTCTGTGGGGTGGCTGACATACAAACATACTGCCATGCTCACTCTGAGTTCTGCCTTTGCAGCTATGAGATTATGGTGCAGTGCTGGAACAGTGAACCTGAAAAGAGACCCTCCTTCTACCACCTGAGTGAGATAGTAGAGAATCTGCTGCCTGGACAATATAAAAAGGTCAGTTTGAGCCCGTGACGGTGGGTGGGAGGATGTGGACAAGGAGGAGAGAATAGCTGGCAGTTATGCCAGCAAGCAGTGCTGTTCAGCACTGTTTGAAGGGAACACTTTCAAAGGAGGACACAGATTGTGTGATCCTGTGACCATGGCTGTATGGGTAGAGTGCTCTACAGGACCCGGGTAGCAATGATGAATGAAGACACCCTCACTTCCCATAGGGCTCCTTTTCATCTTACATGCTCGACACCTGTAGGCACTTCATTCTCCAGACATTTGAGTATCTGAAGCTGCAGTGCAGCTAGAACTCTCAGGACATCTGAGGCCATTAAATTGCTGCTCATTTGGACGTCCTTAAATTCATTCGAAACTGGCTTTTACCAGCTGACTGGAAGGGACAATCCCAGCTGTTATCTGTGACTCCAGCTGGTTTTCCGCAGCACAAAAAGCATTGTTCAAAGGAACAAATGTAATTTCATGGACCCACGCAGGAGCTTCAAATGAATGGAGCAATTTTCTGCCGAGGCCTTGAGAAGGGAGCCAGGCACTCGAGTGTAATGAATCACATCTCAGACTAGGCGCTGCAGACTGACCCATTTCTCTTTCTTCTTGAGAGGCAGCAACATGAGTAGCTTGCCCCGGAGCTGAAAGTTCAGTGTGCCAGTCTTGATTGCTTTAGCACATGTTGCACCTCTCATCAGTGATGCAGGGAGCAGGTAGCGGAAGATTCTCTGTTGGTGGAAGAGGAAGAACTGCTGCTGAAAGTAGGGGCTTTCCATTTCTGTCTGTTGTGGATGGTCCACGCTATACACGAATAGCAAGACTCTCTGTGATGTGTTGATTTATGTATGCTAGAGGGGTATAGCTAGGTCATAGGGTAATTCTGCTTTTAGTTTTAGTTTGCTTGCTTTTTGTCTTTTGAGACCGGGTCTCTCTGTGTATCTCTGGCTGTCTTGGAAGTCACTATGTAGACCAGTCTGGACTCAAACTCACAGAGATCCATCACTTCTGCCTCTAGAATCCTGGGATTAAAGGTGTGAGTCACTATGCCCAACTTACTTTTGGTGTTTGTTTGTTTGTTTGTTTGGCTTTTGTTTTGTTTGTTTTTTGAAACAGGGTTTCTCTGTGTAGCCCTGGCTGTCTTGGAACTCACTCTGTAGACCAGGCCGGTCTCCAACTCAGAGATACGCCTGCCTCTGTCTCTTTAGTTCTCAGATTAAAGGTGTGTGCCATCACCTCCCTGCTTGGTTTGTTTTTTGAGAGATCTCCATACTAACTTCCATCAATACAACAAGTCAGTATTTGTTTTCATTTACTTTCTTGATGATAACCACTCTGACTAGGTTGAGTGGCTTTACTTTTCTCTGATGGCTGAAGATATTAAATACTTTTCCAAGTATTTATTGGCTGTTTGTATTTATTCTTTTGAAAGCTAAATATTCTGTTTATTAGTCCACTTAGTGATTGGATGATTTTTGGGGGGTATTTAAGTTTTGAAGTTCTTTATATATCCTACATACTAATCCATTGATTGATGTGTATTTGGCAGAGCTTTTCGCCCATTCTTTAGGTTTTCTCTTCATTTTTGTGATTGTCTTCTTTGCCTCACAAAAGCTTTATTCCTTCCTTCCTTTCTTCATTTTATTTATCTGTTTGTTTTTGAGACAGGGTCTCTCTTTGTATCTCTGGCTGACAGGGTACTTGTTAGGTAGAACTCACAGAAATCCTCCTTCCTCTGCCTTTGGTGGTGGCAGGGCGGGGGTAGAGAGTAATGCAATATACATGATATAAAAGCAGAAAGACCTATCTGGAGGAAGGAAGGGAATCAGCCAGAGGGAAAACGAGCATAAAACAGGTTATTGAGGGAGAAGAATGAGTGAAAACAAAGTGCAACCCATTGTTATAACCAACAAAAATTACCCCCTCACACCCTCACACAAAGGGAAAAGAGGAGTTTTCACACCAGAAGTCAGACTTCCCCAGCACTGAGGGATCGGGAGGATGCTGGGAACGATGCTTCTGGCAGTTTCTACATGCCCTGTGTGAGCCTTTGTGTCTGCAGTCTTATCAGGAGGCCTGTGCCACTGGTTTGCCCCTCTTTCATGTCTTACATTTCTGGTGATGATTAATACATGACCACCCTCAGTTGTCCTTATAGAAATATATACATGTAAATCATGTGTTCTGAATGTCTGTATTCATCTTACAGTTTGTCAGTAACACTTGCTTAAATGTAATAAATGAATCCTTTCAGAGTTATGAAAAGATTCACCTGGACTTCCTAAAGAGTGACCATCCGGCCGTGGCACGAATGCGTGTGGACTCTGAGAACTCGTACATTGGTGTCACTTACAAAAATGAAGATGACAAGCTGAAGGACTGGGAAGGTGGCCTGGATGAACAGAGACTGAGTGCAGACAGTGGCTACATTATCCCCCTGCCAGACATTGACCCTGTTCCAGAGGAGGAAGACCTGGGCAAGAGGAACAGACACAGGTAACTGGGGGTATTTGCCCACCTTCTTCTGTGCTAGCCTAGAAGGGAGGGCTCATGTGAGACTGAAGTCATCAGGGATGTGTACTGTTGCTCAGGCAACAAGGTGGAGAGTTCCAGGGTCCCACATGATTCTGGGGTGTCTTTTCACCCCCAAGTGAGTGCGTCTCTGGTGAACAATTTCTGATCAGAGTTCTTAGATCATTGTGGCACCAAAGCTGTGATGACTACAGATAGCCCATCCTCTGAGGTCTTAGGCAGTCAGGAGCTGAGGACAATACTGAGAGAGACAGGGTTGGGATGCTCCATCAATAGTCCTTAGCCTCGGGAACAGTTCAGAATTACCAGAGGAGGAGCTTCAAACTGCTGATTCACAGGCCTCACCCTGTCTGTCTGTCCTTTCTTCCTCTGGTGGACTGTCTTCACCTTCTCTTTGTGTGAAGCACAGGGCGGCCACCTATAGTGGGGAAGAAGCCATGGTCCTCCCATCCACTAGCAGATGATCATGAATTTTGGGTGAAAAGACACACAAGGACAAGGCAGATAGTGATACAAGGCAGAATACAAAAAAAGACACCAAGAATTCAGAGAGTAGAAGACAGTGGAGAGTTTGGGCAGGCTGGTGACCTTAGGGATTGTATACCTGAAAACTTTTGTTTAAAAAATGTTTATTACACAAGAATATTGTGAGACTACACCTGTCAATTAGGGTGACACATTTTTCCTCGTTTACTTTATGCAGCTTGGTGTCACATGTACCATTACACACACATACACTCTCTCTCTTTCTCTCTCTCTCTTTTCCTCTCCCTCTCTCCCCTCCCTCCCTCCCCACCCCCCTCTCTTATTTTTCACTCAAAGCTAAGTAGGAAACAAAAAGATACTTCACTCCTAGTATTCTGGCATACACTTGCTAAGAATAAGACCGGCCATTCATGTCATAAGAATAAGACCACATGTAAGAAAGTTAATTGTTAAAGAAGGTTAGAGTTGGTGATGTAGAATTCATATTGAGTATGTTTGAGGCCATAGAGTCAACCCCCCAGTACTGAAAGAAAAGAGAAAAGGAAACTAACAACTGTTCTCAGGTTTCATTTAATACTCAGGCTTTATTAAAATTCAGATACCAGTTTGAATAATACCTGTTAATATTTATTGGGCTTTTTTTATGTTCACGGTTATTAGATTGCTATCATATTCAATCATCTCAGCAGGCACATTGTTAACCATTGCCGTATGTCAGTTTTAGCACTGTTTAATTTTATTTATGTTTCAGAGAAATCTCTTAAAACTTATTATATGTATTTTATTTTTTGAGATTATAATTGTGTGTAGTTATATTCACCTAAGTATATAAATACATCCTGCTCAGTCTGTATAATGCATGTGTATGTTTTCAGGGCTGACCATTTGGATAACCAACTGGTGTGCTCCTCTCTGGGGAAGACCATTTCTCTGATCTCAATATTCTTTAGCTGTCTGTAATTCTTTGTCTAGAGTTGAGGCTGTTGAGTTTTTCTCCTTACACATTAACATGTCTATAGGTGGTGTTTTTATTCAGGTCTTGTTTAGGCAGCCATGTTGGGAGGCTTCTGCTATGTCATTTTATAGGTGCAAAAAGGAAACCTTTTTTCTTGTCTTCAGACTCAGAGGGCTGGGTGGGTGAGAAGAGAAGGAGCATGGCAGGGGAGTGAGGGAGATGTGGGGCTCCATCCTCCCTTTGTTTTCTTTCCCAGTGCCTTTTGATTGGCTGTTGTTTACTCTCTTCCCTGATAGGATGTGTAGGGAAAGTAGACACTGTTATATCTTGTTAGCCACTTCCACAAAACACCTGTGTCAGGGAAGAAGGCAAGCTGAGTTATTTATTTTTTTTTAGAATTTATTTATTTATTGTGTATACAACATTCTGCTTCTATATATATGTATATGTCTGCAGATATATATATATATATATCTGCACACCAGAAGAGGGCATCAGATCTCATAACGGATGGTTGTGAGCCACCATGTGGTTGCTGGGAATTGAACTCAGGACCTCTGGAAGAGCAGTCAGTGCTCTTAACCTCTGAGTCATCTCTCCAGCCTTGCAAGTTGAGTTATAAAGATGGCTGTGTCTTGGTTTTGTTTTGGTCCTGTGCAGCAATGGGTGATGAGTGGCTGGCTGGCTCAATGACAAACTTGCCATGTTTGGCTGCATGTGTTTCAATAGGAAAGGACCAGTACAAAGAGTCCCTTTGCCTTGGGCAGCCACCTTGGAAATTCAGTCCGTGTAGCGCGTAGTCAGTCTGTTCATGACCTTAGCCTTTGCTTTCCAATCCCATCAGCTCGCAGACCTCAGAAGAGAGTGCCATCGAGACTGGTTCCAGCAGTTCCACCTTCATCAAGAGAGAGGATGAGACCATTGAGGACATCGACATGATGGATGACATTGGCATAGACTCCTCAGACCTGGTGGAGGACAGCTTCCTGTAACTGGCAGGTTTGGGGATTATTTACACTCCTGGAGCCTCCTTGGGATCCCTTTAAGAAAACCACTTCATTGCAATGCAAAGGTTGAAAAGAGGACTTGGGTGATGTGGAAAGAGAAGTTCCCTGCCACGCGTCTCAGGGAGCCTCTATGAAAGGATGGGATACTTGGATTGAACTTTGTCCAAGTTGCCCCCTTGCAGTGCGTCAGTAGCATCTCAGCGGTGTGTGAAGTTTGGAAATGAATGGACAAGAGAATAACAGGCCACAGAAGATGAGCTTTGTGTTTCTAGGGCATTGGTGAGATTCCCACACTCACAATTTGTGCTACAACACAGCTCCAGCATTGTAATTATGTAAATAACTCTAAGCAAGGATGTGTTTAGATCCCTGTTAACTCTCCTCTCTGGACTTCTGAAGAGACCACTCAATCCATCCATGTACTTCCCTCTTGGAATCCAGTACCAGCTGCTGTTGAGTTTTCTCATGAAGTACATGCAAAACCACTTTGAACCTTGAAAGGTACTGGGACCATTCTATCTTACTGTCTTATGAGTGCTAAAGAGGTAAAAGATGATAACTAACCAATCTTGAGTAATAGATTTGGGTCTTTTAGGAGCCCAAGATCATCTCTGTATATTGTAATGTATTCTTATAACACTACTACTGTTAACAATAATGCTAAATATGTAACCCATAACACGACTTCCCGACAGAGAAAGCACAATTAGAGCAAAAACCCTTACTAAGTAGGTGACAAGTTTGGCAGTTTTTGACATTTATATTAAGTAACATGTTTCTCAGTAAAATATAGTAGCTTTAGTGGATTAAAGTTAGCAAACACTAGAGAGCAGAGTATAAGTAGTATCGTCCAGAAGTTTTTGATGCTGTGTATTAAGTAGTGTTCTCCCTAATCCATGGCACTAAAAGCAGTTAATCACCTCTGAAGTAATGGGATTAGAAGCAAACAAAGCAGAACCCCCATGTCCTGAATGTTCTCAGTATAAAGGCTTAAGCCTGGGCCCAATGTGACTCCTCATGCTGTGACCTTGTAGAAATGAACAGTCCACAAAAGGACTCAGATGGGCAGAAGTTTCTTTCATGGCCAGTGATGACTTTGATGGATCCCACCCAACCCTACTTTTAAAATCTGTGACCTTTAAGGATGCTTCAACATTAGCTCCTCGATTTCCTCTCTTAAAGAGAAAAAGCTGGAGATCCTGAAACCACAATGGTGCCATTGAATAAAGGTTGTGTGGGCATTAGTTTGGCTCTTTAGTTCCCACTGTTAACTGCAACTACAGTCACTAGGCTTGGGTTTTTGCCCCAGAGATTTGGAATCACTAGGTCTGGGGAGAGCAGGAATCTATCGGTATTTTAGTAAACACTTTGGTGCTTCTGGTTAACTAGTGTTCAGAAAACACTGGCCTGAGTTACAGAGCATTGCCGTGGGTGGGGTAATTTTGAAATTTGGAACTGGGCTAGAAGTCCAGGAAGGCAGGAAGGCTTGTATTTAAGTCCTTGGCTTCATGTCAATAACATCTGATGCCATGTGTCTAGCAATTCCTATTCTTAATTTAAGTTTGCAGGCTTAGCTGAGGCTGAGAAAGCAAAATCTTGGTTTGGGCACATCTTCCAGTTCTAAACAATGTGGGTACCACTTCCCACTGGGTGGGGGACCTGAGCTTGTCCACCTCCAAGCATGTCCACAGATGAGGTAACTCTGTGTGTCAGCTCTCTGCTTGGTGGAGAAGATGAAAAAGTTTTCCTGATTTGGGGGGGTTTAGGTGGGAAGATATTACAGCCATCCAAACTGTCAAACTGGTTATCCTGAGTTCATTGGCATTCTCTGCAATATGCCTAATTGCTGACTCGGTATGAATGAAACATGGGCTGTGATTACTGCAATCACTGTATATGCTTCCAGCAGGTGATGCTTTGGAAGCCACAGAAGCAATAGCTGGGTACTTGACTCCCTACCGGTATAATCTCAATGCAAACCCCAACTTTCCCTTTTCACAGTAAGTGTGAAGACTGAGCCAGATTGGCCAATTAAAAAACAAAAACCTGACTAGATTCTTTAGGGCCAATTAGACTTGAAACACATTCGTGTTTCTAGAATTACAGCTCAAACATTCTGTTTGTCACCCATTCACACAGCCTTGTTTTTTTGTTGTTTTTTACTTTGATGTTGCTTTGGGCCTTGCATGACACCATGAGGTTGGATGAACAGTTTGTGTCCTTAGCAGTACTCTCCTCTGAGACTAAATGGGAATACATTTTTTTTTTTTTTTTTAAGACTGGGGACTCTCTATGTAGCCCTGGCTGTCCTGGAGCTCACTATGTAGACCAGGTTAGCTTTTTTACTCTCAGAGATCCATTTGTCTCTGCCTCCTAAATGCTGGAATTACAAGCATGCACTGCCACACTCAGCAAGAATACATTTTTTATTTTTAAACAGTGTTTTGAGTGTATCCCCGATTTATTTCCTTTTTGGCCTCCTGCAGAGTCTCCAGAAGAAAATTTGCCAATCATTCCTGCTTTCTTTTTTTATGATGACAATCAAAGCTGGCCCGAGGAACACAATTTGTGGCTTTTTAAATGATCAGTGATGTCCTTAAAATGTGGTCTGCCAACCTGTACAAAATGGTCCTATATTTGTGAAGAGGGATGTAAGATAAAATGATGTTATACATCAATATGTATATATGTGTTGCTATGTAGACTTGGAGAATACTGCCAAAACATATATGACAAGCTGTATCACTGCCTTTGTTTATATTTTTTTAACTGTGATATTCCCCACAGGCACATTAACTGTTGCACTTTTGAATGTCCAAAATTTATATTTTAGAAGTAATAAAGAGAAAAAATACTTACATGTTCCCAAAATGGTGGTGTGGTGAATGCGTGAGAGCAACTAACTCCGTAGGGAGGGTCTGCCGATGCAAGATGGCTTCCAAATACCCCTGTTCATGTTTTGTTTAAAAAACTGTAAATGGAGATCTTTATATTTCAATAAATGATTTATTATATATGATTTAAAGTTATGAGGGTCTACTACTTCTTTTGTTTTGCTTTTTAGTTTGACTAGAATCCCACTCAACTCCCTTCCTATAACTCAGCAGGATTTTGTAATAAAGCTCAGGTTGGCATTTACCTTTGTGATCCTTCTGCTTCAGCCCCCAAAGTGTTAGTATCCTAGCCATGTAGCATGATGAGTGGCTTCTTTTCCGTTTTTTCTTCTTTTTTCTTTTTTCTGAGTAGACTAGTTAGTAAAGCAGTTTTATGTTTACAGGGCAATTGAATGGAAGGTCAAGATCTCCCATATACTAGTTGGCACCACACATGAGCAGACTCCCCATCTTTACTGTAGCCTCTCAGAATGTACAATGTTTGCTAAAAAGATGACCCTGATCCACGCCTCATCACCTATGCTATGCTTCAGCCGTCTCTGTGAAAGTTATATGTAGATTTATGTTCTTCGCAGTTTGTCAGTTATCTGGTATCTCATCATATAAATCAATGCAATTAATTAATGGAAATTATAATGTTAATAATTGGAAAACAGGTCCCTGTTTCAAAATAACCCCCTATTGTCCAAATTCAGACAGTCTATATATCCAAGCCTGATCCTTCAGAGCATGGCTGTTCATTGGGTGTTAGCTCCACCTTGGCTCTGCCCAGGAAGGAGAGAGATGCCTGGGAATAAAAACACTTCTGTCTGAACAACAGCTACACAATTCCATCCTTTAACGTAACACAGACAATTCTGTCTACTTTATCTGGTCTAGTGATTTTTTTTTTTATTAGGGATTTTAAAAAACCCTCCAAAATGATTTTTTTTTATGTTTTTGAGTCTTACAATAACTTAAAAAATGCTACAATGACAGGGAAGACATCTCATAATCGTAGAAACCAAGATACTGCAAGACTAATGTCGTCTGAGAAAGCCACATAACTGAGTAATATGATAGCACTAGGGGCAGAAATTCCAAATACGTAAACCACACTATCATTTGCATGATGAGCCAAGGAGAAAGCAAGAGACACTGAGAATATCAGCATACAGAAGTAGCTTGCCTGGCTTCTTTGGTATTTTCAAAGACAAGCAATGGATAAGTGCTGCAAGCGCAGAACTATTCTATGTGTTTGTAATCAAAGCCTTTCTTTTCAGGCTGAAACACACCAGCCCTAATAATGGGCATTGTGATTTTAACAGTGGTGTACTTCATGAAAAGCAACTCCGGAAAATGGCCGGCCATATCAGAATCCATCATAAGCTAGGCAATTTCCCTTGGGATAATAGCAACAGAAATGTTTCATTATCTTTAACTCCAAATATGCATAAAGGCTAAACCCAACAGCATCATGGCAGCAGTGTTTATAATAGAGACAATTGTTTCATCCAGCGTTAAAATGTGTGTGAAAATACGTATGTGTTCTTAATTAGCAGTTTATGTCATCTTGCCCCACCTGGTTACACAAATAGCACCTGTGTCCTGAAGAATAATGAACGTCATTTCCCAAATAGATTCGTACGCCAGTAATGTTTCCATCATCTACACTGTAGTTTACATACAAAGTGATGGAGATATCATGGACACATGGTCTCACGTGGCAGGGGAATGTATCTGTTCCCCCCATCCTGGTTTATAGTCTAATTGGAATTTTTAAAAGGTTTGCCACATTAGCCTGGCAGATGGCATTTGCTTTATCATTGTTCATGGGTATTAATGACTTCCCTCTAGAGCGTGTGTATCCTGTCTATTTTGAATTTCATCACATTTCACGCCTACTGCTCCAAACAGAATCAGAACCAGGTTTTTCTGCGTGGAGCTTGGCTTGTAGAATGGTTGGTCTACCCAAGTTGGGCGCCTGACTATGATGGAGCTCTCTGAAACAAAGGAAAGCTGTTGGGGGTCTGTGCTGGTTATGCTGTCAATCTTCGTTGTGTTTAGCTGGCTCTCCCATGGGACTCCTGGTAGAATCAGGTGTACACAAAG